GGGGGGGGCTCTGGTGTGGTCTTGCTGCTGTTGTTTCCTGTCAAACATTTATCGTCCTTATCTCCCCTTCTTTATTAAAAAAATATTGTACTCTATAAGTAACTCCTCTAATCTTCGGGAACTATATTTCGGGCTAACCCAGATTTCGGGGGTTTCCAGAAAACTTGACTTACACCAAAGTGGGCATTGCCCTACCTATAGGAGAAGTTTGGTTTGGTTTCATTGATCCTTGTATAAACATTTTAAAGAAACTGAACAAGGGGCAAACACTTTACCTTCGATTTTTCTCAAAACTGCTTTTTTCGAGATAGCCCTCTAAAAGCGACAATTTATGACCTATTTGTGTTGCAAGTTCCGTAAAACTCTTACTAAAACCAAACAAAACATCTGAACAGCTAACAGCCTCTGTGGTATTGTAGCTGTTAGTCGCTTCGCTGTGGCACACTAGAAGGCTTGAGTTCAATTCAAGAGTGGGGAGAATTTTTTTTAAATCGTGTACCTCGGTCTTTCTTCAACTAGGATATTGTATCCCTCTCAGCCCGAATTGGCCCTGACAAGCCTCCTAAATGATCTAGATTGTGTCGATGGGGGCGTGGCGTAAAAATACCTACATTTCGCTTCCTTGGGATTACAAAAGTCTTTCTGACATTTTTGAACTATTAATGTGGGCTTTGGAGTAAGAATAGAACATCGTGACAAGATTTGTGAAGAACCACATGCATTTGATGCCCGTGGTACTTCTTGCGCAAATTATGAGGCTGAGCCATCGTCATTGAAGCTGCAATCCTCCACCTGACCAACGTTTCCGTTACATATTCCCAGACAAAATCAAGGACACTGTTATATTCACAGACGGAAAATCAGTAGGCCTACTCCAAGCTTTGGAAAACATGAATTTTGAAAGCCCAACTTGCCTCTCTGTGGTTTTAAAACAATTATCACCTTCATGCAGGCCTATGCCATCGAGCTGACTTTACAGTGGATACCTGGCCATAGCAACATCCCAGGAAACGACAGAACAGACACCCTTGACAAGAAGGGAGCATCACAAACACAACCTCAAAACCCAGTACAAGTACAATTATCACAACAGACAGCCAAGAACATCATCAAATTATGCAACGCCAGGGAACAGTGGCTGACTGAATGGACGGGCATTGGGCAAAACTGGAAGAGCTGTAATTGCACAGTGTGACTGCCAGGATGAAACAGTATCACACCATCTCTTTACTTGCCCTGCACTAAGCGACATGCGTAGCACCTACCTACCAGCCTCCCCAGATATCGGAAATAGGGCCTACTTTATACAGCGACAAAACACAGCTGATAAAAACCTGTAAATTCTTTGCCATATCGACAGGCCGAAGGGCTAGAACTCAGTTGGCCGCTGGATCGGAAAAGTTAAGTTCGTTTCCTTAGGATTACAAAAGTCTCTCTGACATTTTTGGCCTTTTTGAGTTTATAAGATCATGGGGACAGGAACCAAATATTATTGTTCTATCTGCTCTATCAAAATCGTAATAAATCTTGCCTTGTTGTGAAACTCAACTTTTTTAACGTCACATTTATCAAAACTAGGTACATTGTACTATGAGCAGATAGAACTTTGTAAATCTAGGGTAGCAAATTTTTATATTTTCTTTTTAAACATTCCGAAATCTGAACAGTTACTGTCCCAGGACTTGTGAGTGGTTGTCGGGTGCTCTGGTGTGGTTTGTTTCTTCTTTCCTATCAAACATCTATTGTCCTTATCTCCCCTTCTTCTTTTTTATGTTTGTTACTCTCTTGTAACACCTCTAATCTTCTGGCTCTCATATGACCTTATGCAGTTGCGAGTGCTGTAAAACATCTACTTAAAAGCTGTCCTAGGATTTACGTACCGGCCAAGAAGAAGAGGGTGAGTCCCGCCCAGTAAAGTTTGTACTTGATCTTGAAGTTGCTGGTGCGCAGAGCCACGGATGTGACGACGATGGCGAGGATACAGACGATGAGGGAGATAAGGCACAGGGCCTGGCACGCCGTGATCCACTCTGGGGGGAGGAGAGAAAGAAGGACAATAATTATTATGTTTGTTTTAGTAGATGTTTTACGGCGCTCGCAACTGTCTAAAGTCATACGAGCGCCAGAAGATTAGAGGTGTTACAAGAGAGTAACAAACATAAAAAGAAGGAGGGGAGATAAGGACGATAGATATTTGATAGGAAAGAAGAAGCAAACCACACCAAAGCACCCACCAACCACCCACGGAAGGACAATAATATGACACGAACATGAGGGTTTTTACAGTATTATGAGGGAAATGGAATGGCAATTGTCACAATTTTTACGAAAAAGGAAAAAAATGGCAGTTGTCATATTTTCTGACCATGGAACAAAATAGTAGATCTAGTACATGTATGTATTCATAATTTTCGTACACGGAAAAAATGGCCCTATGGCTGCTATATAACCAAAAAATCATTTAAGGGTAGATGGCTGTAGTCCAGCATTTTGTAGAGGGATGTCAGCATATTTTAAGTACATGTATGTATACCACTGTAAACTAAACTATGCTGAAAGCCTGGAATAATATAACAGAGATAGAGGAATTATCTCATTTATGAATAAAGCAAGGAATACATAACATTTATGAATAAAGACAGAATAAATAACATTAACCAGACTATGAATAAATCACATTAATGAATAAAGTTTAAATCACATTAATTTATAACGATTTTTTATCTTTGAATTTGGAAGCAAATCAAGATAAAGAAGAGACAGTCAGTGGCTCAATGGAAACTTCAGAGGATTCTAGAAAAGCAGTCCACATGCACGTTACGTAAACACACTTGACATTCACCCAAACTTTTTTTTTTCAAACTTCACACAATGGGACACTACTCTGAAGAAGACGCGTACCCCCC